CCCCCCCCCCCCCCCCCCCTCTACTCCCTCACGTGCACCGTTGCCCGCCCCCGCCCGCCCGCCCCCGGTTCACCGCACACACATTGCCTCCCGCGTAACTCGGAAACCCACCACCCAACGACGCGACGAACTACAGGAGGGCTCGGCGCTAGTCAGCGGGAGCAAAGACAATACCGTCAAGATCTGGGACGTGGCGTCGGCCTGTAAACGTGACGGCGACGGCCGAAACGGCGTCGATTCCTCCGCTTCCCTGGCGGAGCAGATGAAAGCGGCGGCGGCTGCAGCGGCGGCGATTGGTGATGGGGGTCGGGGGGGAGGGGTGTCGGCTGTTGCCGGAACCAAACGAAAAAAGGGAGCTGGGGGTGGGGGTGGGGGTGCACCGTGGCCGTCGAGAGGGGATGGTCCAAGCTACGGCCCTGTGCACTCGTTCGGAACGAGGAACACCGGCGTCTTCAAGTGGGTGTTGTTGTTTTTGTTTTTGTTGTAGTTGTTGTCGTCTTCACATTGAAAATCGTTCCGGTCTTTGCTCAGTACCTTAATCCGTAGCGGCCCAATTAACGCGGACCCCTTCCTTCCGTGATAACAGACCAGGTACACGAAAACGGTGGCAGTCACTTCGAAAAATAATGCGACAAATTATTTATTCACAAACGCGGAAGTAGACCGAAAGCCAGAACACTTGAAAACACGGAAGGACCAGGCAGTCAGACGTCGCTGGCGACACATCCGGCAAAAGGCGTACTGCGACGAGAACGTTCTTCGAAGCCGCGCCTAAAATCCGCTCTTGTGCATGCCTTAAGAGCGCCGGCGAACGCCCAGGTGCGATCGATGGGTGTCAAAAAAGGCTCGATTGCTCCACCACGATCAAGAGGCTACCATTGCCGGAAAACCGGTGGGGTTTTCGAAGCACTGTTGTATCACGCGGAGGAGAACTTTTCCTTGCACTTGTCGGTTGCGTGTCGCACCCCTCTTGGTTGCGGAGCAATCGAGCTCGAAATATCGGCCGATCGCACTGCTGCCGTGTTCGTTCGCCCGCACCTTTTTTACGGTACGTTTGTTGTACTTGTGGTGCCTTTGCTGACACACCCGGACACTATTTACTCGTTGTGCGGGGTTTTAGCCCCCTCCCCATCTTCTTCTTCTTTTCCGTTCTCTTCGCTTGACCTGTTGCCCAACAAGAATATTTAGCTCCCTCCTCATCGTGTCGTTCTCCGTTCTGGTCGCCTTTCTTGCGGATTGAGAGAAAGAGAGAGAGAGAGAGAAGAGAGAGAGACCTGGTTGTCCAACAAAATCGCTGCTCGTTTTGCGCCGCCGGCTGGTCTTTCCCTCGTTTCTCGCCCCGCAGCGTGCTCTTCACCAAGAGAAACCTGGTGATCGCTTCAGGGGTCTGTCGAAACAAGTCATGACCAAGAATCAAGGGCTGGTGTGCTGGTTGTTGTAGTTGTTGTAGTTGGTTGGTTGGTTGGTTGGGGGGGAGTGAGGAGTAGCAACGGCGACCATGCGGCGGTGGTGCCTTGCTTGTCGGGTTGTGAGAGGCGACTGCGACAAGAGAGTAGCGTCGAGTTAGGCGCCGCCTGCGTTTGTCGTAACAAAGTCTTGTTTCTTGTTCGGCTGTCTGTGTACATGTCAGGAAAACCTTTTTTGTCTTATAGGTGCGGTGTGTGGGTGTGCGGAGGGCGCGGAAGCACAGGAAACTACCGCAGAGCGGACTTGGCAAGAAGGCTGTGGTGCAAGGGATAGGGGTGTCTGGATTGCTGGGGCGGAGAGGGGGCGCATGCCCCCCCCCCCCGCCCATTTTTTTCTTGTTGCAGCTTTAGAGCTCGACCATGTAGAAAACAACACCGTCGGTGGTTTCAGTAGGAGTTAGCTTGTTATTTTCGGGTGCGTGTGTGTGAGTAGATAGATGGGTCGGCGGGTGGAGGCGAGTCGGCGGGTGTAATGTTGCTGTAATGTTATGATATGCTTAGCATACGTGTTTTACGAAACCGCACGCACGGGAGGCTTTCTCCCTCTCGATGGTTATGGTTTTTCCGTTTTTTAAGTTTAACAAGAAGTTGTCGCTGTAGACTATGCCTCCCGGGGAATATCGCTGTATATGGCGCTCGGAGAATCAATCGTAGAGACACAGACAGGGTTGTCATCGTGTAACGCTAATGGGTTCATTGCTAGTCTATCCCGGACTATGGATGAGACGAAGTCGTTGTGTTTTTGTAAGAAAACAAAAACGAAAGTTGTCGTTCGTTTGTGTCACCCACGGCTGCCTTCCTGTAATATTGTTCTGTTCCAACAACGAACAGCAGTTGGGATGCCTATAAAATCGAAGCGGCACAACCACCTCTGCTATGTCTTCGAAGCGGCACAGCTACAATACCTCTGCTGCATTTGTGCCCGTCGCATCGTCCCTGACTACATGTATCGCAGTTACGTCGATTCTTCGCGGATGTGTTTGTTTCTGAAAAACAAAAAAAATGTGACAACGAAGACGGTGCACACCTGACAAATCGTATAGTTTGGGTAACGCACGGCACATGATATTTTTTCTGCAAAGAAAAAACAAAAATACAACCCTTGCTGCTCGACGTACGAGCGAGTGGTTGTTTCCGGAGTCCTGCTGGGTAATTCGGAATACAACGACAGGTGTGTTGTCGGAACATGATAATATCTTTTTTCGCAAGACACCCATCGATGTAGGCATCCCTCCGAATGCTGCATCAAGATACTGTAGATCCTCCAACCGACTGCCAACAATCTAATTCCGAAACCAGTGGCATGGATGTGCTTGGACGACGCAAGAAAACCCCCCGTAGGTTGCAAGATCGCACATACATAAAAGAGTCATAGTCTAGCATAGTCTATGTACCAGTCGACGTTCGAAGCTCCATAATATTCTCAGTGTGAGAGATGACGAAAAAAATAAAAACGGCTTCTGGACGTTTTTCGTTTTTCGGATCTTTGCGGCGTAGCGAAATGCTACGTACGTACGCTCTACGTGCGTACGTTGACCTACGGTTCGACATTGTGCCGTCGAGCTACAGCATGTATGCATGTATGTGGAGATCCCGACCCTTTGGGAAAGTGTCTCCCGCACGCAGGGATGCGTTGTCTTTACGCGCGACCCCACTCACTCACTGGTTGGTCTCGTTTGTATGTAGTGTGTAATCTTCGGCGTCGGAACAATTTAGTATCAATTCTCATGCACCTTCTGCATGCGTACCTAGAACGAGTTATTCTTGAACCATGATATGCATAGTAACAACAACAGCAGATGGACGGCACTTTGCTATCATCCCCGTCCACAATTGGCAGCATTGACTGATTGCATCATTTAAATACCCTGCAGTGAAACACAATCCCACGAGCCCCTGTGGCCCAATGGATAAGGCGTCACCCTCCTAAGGTGAATATTGCGAGTTCGAATCTCGCCAGGGGTTGACGGAAGTCAACAACTGTGAGGGCATTTTTTTCTCTTTTTTTTTTGTGGTACGATACAAGTACAGTGTGGGACCCACGAAAAATACACAAGGATCGTCCCCAGCAGGCAGGTTTGTATTTCTTTGTTATCTCTTTGTCGACGCCATTGTGAAAAGAGGGAATCGTCCTCGACAGACGTCGGGGAGATTGTACCTTTTTTTGTGAAGGTGGTCTCCACAGTAGTGTCATTTCATTTATGTTCACAACAGAACCTCCTCACATGAACCACCCACCAAACGTACGTATCTATTATTCGATCGCGCGAAGTCACGAAAAGGGCGTGGTGGGAACAAAATCGACAAGAAATATCTACAGCGCGTGGAAAGCGTCTCGATGAGAACAATCTTTTTGTGACCTTCTGCGAGTTTGGGCGTCATCTATATGCAGAAAACATTGTTGCCCTTCCGAGCAACACATCATCACCAAACGAACAATAGCACACCCTCCACGTTGAAGTCGAAGTGGTGGCCACTTAGACTTGACACAATCCATGCAGATGTCGATCATTAAGTCATCATCCCGGGCGCTTGGGCTGTTGTTTTCCGAATGCACGAGAAAACTTAATAATATGGAGCTTACTATCTGTAGCTTTGTCCAGGCCCCCCAATACCAAATCGAAAAAGTTTCTTGCGACCGCCTTGACAAGCCAGTAGTTAGTTGTTCTTCACATTTCCCCATAGGATACACCTACCGGGTGTAATAATACCGTTGGACGTTGGATGCACTGTGAAAAACGGCCACTGCTGTACGCATTCCAAAACACCGAGCAAAACCTCGAAGAGAGAGGCAGGTTGGTCGCGGAGCGGTGGTTGTCGTCCTCGCCCGCGCATGCCACCATACACCCATAAATTGAGAGAAAACGCCGCAACCACAAGCTGTCCGGCAACACGCCACATCACAAGTGGCCGCCACCATAATATCACAACAAACGTTGTTTTCTTCACGCAGTGCGTTTTCGTTGACATACATATCTTGACATGTTTCTACATACAGTTGTAAGCGTGCTCCGATTTTTTCTACGGGTGCGCAGCAAGGAGGCAAGCGTAGCCCACAACACCACCAACCACTCAGCCCAAAGGTATATTCTCAAACAACAGCCGACTGAGCCGTTTCTGGGAGCCCCGTTGTCCTATAGCAGGAGCACGAAAAACAGAGGCCATGACGTCGCACAGCACTTATCTCCGGAAGTGCACGCACAGCAGTCCCAACGGATTTACCGTGACGGCATCACACATATTCAAGCACCGGAGCGTTCTTCGTGTGGGCCAAAAGATGCTCCCGACACCTGAAGAAAGCGAAAAACGGCTCCGTCTGCAACGAAATCGAGATTTGCTACTACCGCTGACTACTCGATGACCTTCGACAACCCGATCGAGCAGTCCACATACCGCAAGCATAGCTCAACTGCATGGCGGCAGCCTCACGGGGACACCGGTGTATACCACACATTTTCTGACTTAACCTGGCGTTAAACTATGTAGCGCATCCATCCCTCCTCTACAATCCAGCCGCCGCACTGTCTTCCCCCGCAGCCTTCTCCGTTGTCAAGCAGTACAGAGTGCGTTGCTCAGCTTCGTGGCCGCAACAACTCCATCGACGACGGTTACTACTACTACTACTACTATACTACTACTACTATACTACTACTACTATACTACTACTACTATACTACTACTGCTGCCACTGCTGCTACAGCTCCGTTTCCGACGGCGCGGCGGGAGCATGCTCCGAGCTGTACTCCTTCAACAGCGCGAGAGGCACGACCTCCATCGCCTTCTCGTGGGTGCTCTCCAGCACCACAAGGGGGGCCTTACCAGCGCGTTGCGCCTGCAGCCATCGCGAGGAGCACAGACACCTGCGCGCGATTTCGTTGTAACCGTCGGATGTTTGTTGTTGGTGAGAGCAAACAAGAAAGACGTCGACGGCCGAAAGGTTTAAGGGTGAAACAGCCGAACTAAGAAGCAACAGGCGTATTTTGTCCGTTGGGGGTAGTACAGGTGACGACAAACGAGCAGGGTTCAGAGCCATGAAAACAACGGAATAAGGTCAGAGGTCCGAAATCTAGACACTCAAGCAACAACCCAGCGTAAAAAACCACAGCAGCACACGACACAGCCGGCGTCTTACCACCAAAAAACAACCGTATGATGAACGCACCATCTGTCCCCGGCCTTGAGACCCGGAAAATGCGGTAGCGGGGTGGAGAGGTCGTTCCCCTGGGCCTTGGTGTAGTCCAAGAACTCCTGCGTCACCTCCGAGCACACGCAGTGCTGCCCGCGGTCGTTGTCATCCGTACTGCAGTAACCGTCGCGTCTCCATCCCGTCGTTGGTCCCCCAGGCAGCGAACACGCCTGCAAAGGTTGAAGAGAGGGCGGGGGTTGATTTCCCCGTGGTTTGGAGATATTTGCGAGTGAGCCGGCGAGAGGCGGATAGATAAAACCAAACATAGATGCAAGTAACGCTGTAATCCCGCAGGGCAAGGAGGGGGTGCCAACGCGCCACCGCTTTGAAGCTGTGACGCAAGAAATTCCGGCACAAGCGATTAGAAGTAAAAAATACCGTAAGAACATATGCATGCTCAGGTAGGATACCCACGCTGAAACCAATATTTTCGCTGTTGGGTTACCCCACAGACAACCGAGAGGTTCTTACATGGTGGCACGTTCTTTACCGGGCTTCTTCTCAATGCTTGGCAATATTATTAGCGTGGTGACAAACAGAAGGATACGCAATGGCGTGTAGAGGCTGGTGCCCAGAACAGATTGAACAATAAACACAACTTTGGCCGTTGGTCCGTAGGGGGAAAGTGCGTTCGAGGGTGCCAGGGGAAAACTAGCAACTTGGTGTAAGCTTGGTACAGAGTCGAAACATCTGCACGGAGGGATAGAAACACTCGATTCTTGTTGCTCTCCTGCGGGGAGAGGGCTGCCGCACGGGGGGAACGTTGAGGGTGGCGGAGGTTGCTCCGAGCAAAACTGTACGTCTGATTGTGCAGCACGATGCGCCTCAAGGAGGTGGCATGCAGGAAGGAGTGGAGGGACGTACTCCTACGTATACTGTTCTTGCAAAGACATCTTCAGCACCTCATAGATGCATGTGTAGGATGGAAAAGTGGGGTGGTTGTGGTGATTGGCGTCACTCTTTGTTATTCGTCTCTCCTTCTCTCTGGCGGGAACTCCAATGAGTTACGATTCCGTCGGAGCATGATCGAAACGTATTTCTGCAAGACTGCCATGGCCGTCTTACGCTAGCCGGCCTAGGTGCAGAGACGAGACGCCACCGCGTTGGATGGCCGGTACAAACACGCATCATTCCCAGCATAATGAAGTGAAGACACACAAAAAAAAATCCAGCGCATTTCGGATATGGAACAAGTATTTACCGTACTGGCCGTTAGGGTAAAACTACTCAAAGCAGCACAGGAGGCCCCACCACGAACGAACCTGTTGTTTTCGCCTGAGGCTCGTTTCTTACTTCCTCTGTTGGGTACCAGCGACCAATACACTAACAAAACCGGTAGGTCTTATTCTTTACTGATCACCTTTTCGTGTGGTCAAGTTATCAAGTTCGACCCGGGGAATTCTTAATCCTCCAAGGGGGTCAAGAAGTGGTGGCGCAACCGGTATGGAGGAATAAGGCGTTGTTGATGTTGGGCTGGAAATGTCGGAAAGGCGACCACCGCGGGGTGAAGCAAGTCTGGAGAGAGAAAGGCCGTATCGACGTATCGACTCGTGCCAACAACGGCACGTTGCTCGGCGTCGACTGCCTAGGGAAAGATATGTAGTAAATTTAATGTACGTCGTAAATTTAATGTACTACATATATAAGACCCCCACTTAGCCGATTCCATGCTTTATCCAGTATGTTTGCGTAATTGGAGAAACCAGCGTAGACTACTGCTGTCGGCGTCACTTCTCTCTATGCGGTGGTGTCGGATAGCCGAACGTGGGGGCACGGCAAGAGTATCGCAGATCCTGGGACCCCCCGGCTCAGGGCCTGTCTAGCGTTGAAGAAAAAAAAAAATGTCACCATCGAACACAGGCCCCGAAAAATCGAAATTCGAGGGGAGTATCCCCGGACTGTGATTGGTTACCAGGGAAAAATACGAAAAAAGCGGGCATTAGGCGGAGGAGAAACAATGGCAACACCCGTTTTTTTCCAAAATCGAAGGACACGAGTTGGGACTGCACCCCTTTTGCACCCTCCATGATGAGCGGACCTCGTGTTGGCGTTACCGCTGACTGGACCGCATGCGAGTGGCACACCGCTGGTCCTGCGGCACTCACACGCAAAAATCGCTGTATTGCAAGGATTCTGTGAGCGTGTCCGAATTGCGTGCGAAGTGGGTTGCTGTGGAATTCGCTTCCTAAAATGTGCGACGTCGAAAGCCAACGGCCGGTCACGTGCAGCGAGGCAGTCCAAGTAAAAGTTGGTGAGCAAGGCTGAGGGTGAGACTTGGGACAACTGGCACCACCAGCTGATGCCCACAGCTTCGTATGTGTGCTGATAAATACGTACGGCTCCCGTGTGGTGCACATGGTCTATCGCTCCACCTGTCTCTTTGGTGACCACGTCACCTCGTGCAGGTGATTCCGCCGCATTTAGGTATTGCTAACTTCGATTCGGCATTTTGGGTGTGCACAACATAACACCTACATGCCACAAGATTATGCTATTATACACGTAAAACCCAATAAACCCAGTATATTGCCTCCTATTTGCGTCCCCAACTCAGGACACTAAAACATAACCAAAACCAAACCAAAACCCGCTCACACTCTTGCAAAAGATCGTCCAAGGGTTACATAAATCTTGAGTGGAGAATGTGGAATCGTGCCCTACGCCCTACATTTACAATAGCGCCCACTTGCAGTCAAGTCAAGAAATTGATTGTACAGCATCGAGAAAACATCATTGAAGAACTCGAACACCATATAAGGAGCTCGGGCTAAGAACCCCTACACTAAAAGCCTACATAGCGGCCATTCTTAGAATAACCCTAGGAACGTTCCCAGCCTCGACCAAAACGAGAGGTCCAGATAAAGTCGCACCCGCTCATTGGGGGGAGTCTGTACAGTCCCGAGGGACAAGAGGATGACTTGGGTTTAGAGAGAAATGTGCCCCCAAATGCATGGGGGACACTGTCCTTACTGAAGACAAGTCAGCATTTTTTTCCAGTTCTAGGCAATACAAAACTTTTACCAACAAGGGGGCGCGCGACGTGCGAGATATGTGTACAGCAAGTCAGAGGCCGAGGCATCACACAGCAGAATATTATCACACAGCAGCGTACCATCCTGCACTACAAATAAAGTAGCATGGGTAAACCAAGGTTTCCGACGTGCTTTTCACACAGCGGAGGCTAGTGACGACGATACGGTGCGGTACAGACACTGAGTGTTGTGTTCCCAAGGTGTCCCATTTGGGCGGTCCAGTACTGTCAACGGGTTTAACCCTCCTCGTTCGCAGTCACCAGGTTGAGAAAAAATCGCGTCCGCATATTGGGAGAGGCCGTACCGTCGCGGCAAAGGCTGACCTGGTTTTAGAGAGGAAAAGTGTGCCCAAATGCACTGGGGATACTTTCCATACTGAAGCGAAGTAAGCAAATTTGCGTTTGGGCGTCCAGCACTAATGGGCTTAGTCTATGTATAAGTGCGGGCGCTAACTGCTGTACGTATTTCGCCGAAGAATGCCGCTCTGTGCTCGAAGAGGGGCAGCTAGAGCGCTAGAGCTATATGCACAGGCAGCAGTACAAGAGTAAAACAGCAGTTCTTACAGTAAGTCTACATGAGCAACAGCAGTGGGCAGCACATATATCTCGCCGGCGCGTGGCCAACATGTGAATGCCCTGATCACTCCTCCACCAAGACCTGAGCAACGATGTGTACATCACGTAATGACCAACATGGAGATCAACGCACACTGGTACAGCAGTAGAGGGCTCCTGCTGAGGTTCTACTGCTGCTGTACTGCTGTTGCTGTGACGTCTTCAAGGTTTCGACTGCTGTCTGACCTTCAGCGGGGTGCCCAACACGTTTAGCGGAGATCCTGTAGACATGTGAGCAACGAACGACGTTGTACGCAGCGGCAGAAGTGCCAATGCAGCAGCTGATCGTGCCCAAGATGACAGCATGCCCCCTCCCGGCTGTGGAAGACGGCTGAAAGAATGGCAGGGGGTGGGGACCCATGAGGCACGTCCCCTCCATCGTCGCAAGTATTTCGGAAAAACACTGGAAACCCATGGAGCCAGCCCACAGAGAGCCAGCGCGGAGATTATCTCATGTCTCAGAACATGGAGCGATGGTGGTAAGACACGCCCTGTGAGCTCAGCCTTTACCGATAGTGGAATCCGACTGGTAACACAGGTGGGCGGAGAAACAGACCAGGGCCGGCCTTAGAGAGCGGGAGAACTACTGCTGTGACGGCTGTGTCATTGGCTGTGTGTAGAAGCTGTGAGGAGCATGGTGGGATCACAATGTCAGGTGCTTTTCGTTGCGACGCTCGACGAGGAATATATCATGTGTCATCTGTACATCGATGACATGTTCGAGCGTTGGGTGTTTAGATGGTTCGTTAACCGCAGAGTGGGCGTTTTGCCCACAGAGAGAAACGCGCCAGTATTGCTAATACCGTTGGCTCCCCTTGTGGAAGCAGGTACACACACCCTGCTCCGGAAAATATTTTTTCTTGGTGTCCCACCATGACGACGCAATTCCTCTCAGCAACTCAGTGAGTACATGCTCATACGTTTACACCTTCTGCCTTTCCCGCCACGCTGTGGCTTGTCTCGGTGGTTTATATTGGTGATACACCGAAGAGATCTCACCGATATTTCCGTCTAAACGCAAAAAAACTAATGGTGCCGAGGCTACTGCTAGAGGCGCCAGGAAAAAAAAACAGAGAAAATGAACCCTCACACTCGTGAGTCGCAGGCAGCTCTCTTTGCAATGCCTCCAGCTCTCTCTTCTTCGTCTGTTCACATTTTACCCCCGATCTCATGGAGTTACTGCTACTGTGGTTGCGCGGCGGGTAGGTTTTTGGGCCCGCCGCACGGTTACTCTTGTTCAGATTTTGACTCACGAGAAACTTGAACTGCACGTCGAGGCAGGCGCGTTTTAATTTTCTACTTCTTGATCCCCCTCGATGCTTGTACAGGTGGAAAAGATTTTCCTCCACCCAAGTTCCAACGTTTCTCTTTCTGTCGCCAATCAAGCGGTCCGCCCTCCTAAGTTGGGACCCAGCATTGTGTCACCTCAGACACAAACAAAGGAACCGACCCAGTCATCATTCGAGGTCGATTACCAAGCGCATAAAAAATCCCCGCGCGCGATGGTGAGTCTGTCCCCGCCCCGCCCTATTTCGAGTCCACAAACGGCCCGAAGAATCATTGTATTTGTTTCAGGACCCGACCTCCCCCCCCCCCCAATAAAATAACTCGTCTGCGCCT